CATTAATATACAGTATTTGCACAGTTCTCTTTGTTGCTGCTGTAATATTGCAGTTTCAGGATGTTCTGCATTAATAAAGTCTATTCATCCATCCATCCATCCATCCATCCAGAGCATCCATATGTCCAACCATCCATCCATCCATCTTTTTATCCATCCGTTTGTCCGTCCAGCCATCCATCCATTCATCCATCCATTCATCCATTTATTTACCTGATATGGACAGTGAGCTCATTCCTATCTTTTAATCCAGTTTATCTGTCCATCAATCATCCATCTATCCACCCATCCATCCATCCGTCCATTCATCCATCTGACTGTCTACCACCAGTCTGTGTACCACTCATTCCTCTATCATCCATGCATCCATCCATCTATCCATATATCTTTTCATTCACCCATCCATCCATCCATCCATCCATCTATCCACCTATGTACTTGTCTACCTACCTTACAACCTATCTATCTATCTATCTATCTATCTATCTATGTGTATCTGGGCAGTGATCTCATCTTTCCATCCATCCATCCAATCCATCCATCCATCCATCCATCCATCAATCTATCTATCTGATATGGACTGTGAGCTCATTCCTATCTTTTAATCCAGTTTATCAGTCTGTCAGTCATCCATCTATTCACCCACCCATTCCTCCTCCTATCATCCATCCATCCAACCATCTATCCTTCTATCCATCCATCTGTACATCTACCCATCCACCAGTCTGTCTACCACCAGTCTGTCTACCACCCATTCCTCTTTCTATCATCCAGGCATCCATCCATCTATCCACAGATCTTTTCATTCACCCATCCATCCATCCATCCATCCGTCCATCCACCTACGTACCTACCTACCTACCTTACAACCTATCTATCTATCTATCTATCTATCTATCTATCTATCTATCTATCTATCTGTGTGTGTGTATCTGGGCATTGATCTCATGATCTCCCTATCTTTCCATCCATCCATCCATTCAGCAACCTCATTGGCTGCCGTTAACCTCCCTTCACCCAATCCCACTGCAGCGTCATTGAGAGACACTTTGCTGCCTCTGTGATTTGTGGAGTTAATGAAAGGCAGCGTGGTGCTCCATTCGCTCTGCTGGGCAGTGTTAGTTTTTGGCACTGGTTACCGCCCTCGACCCCACCCCCCTGCCCCGCGAGCTGTCCTCACACTTCCGTGAGCTGATCTGCCGTAGCCACCGCTGCTGCATTTTTTATGGTTTTGCCGTCTTTTCAATTACAGAGCGATGAATTACCTTTTGAGCCCCTCGAGTGCCCCGGGCCGGTCCGTAGCCAAAGGCCCCCGGCGCTGTAATGATGCCCCCGCACAATCGCCCCACTGTTCCCCCCGAGCCGTTCCCAGGAAACCGCACAACATGCGCTATTGTGTGTTCCTCGCTTTGCTGGCCGGCCACGTTGTCCAGCTTCAGCCAGAGCGGCACGGGGCCGCGAGGCGCCTCTAGCGCCGGGCCTGGGGTCCCGGATCCTGAAAGCAGAAAACTCTGCCGGAGCAACCTGCCCTGAAAAAACACACTGCTTTACATTTATCATCAGCCCCCCTGTTAACACCATTACAGTGACATTAAACAGTGGAACCACTGAAATGTTAGATGTGTCCAGAATGATGATGTAGATGTTTCCATAATAACTGGAAAAACTGTAGAACATTTCTGATAAAATTAATATCTAGAATGAAGTTCTAATAAAATTAATATCCAGAGTGAAATTCTTATAAAACTAATATCCAGAAAGATGTTTTAATAAATGAAATATCCAGAATGAAGTTCTAATGAAATTAATATCCAGAGTAAAGTTCTAATAAAACTAATATCCAGAATGAAGTTCTAATAAAATTGATATCTGGATATATATAGCAATTTGCCATAAAATTAGTGTCCAGAATTAAATTTTGACAAAATAAGTGACCAAAATAACTAGTATTTTTTCCCAAGTAATAACTTTAAATTGTAAAAAAGTAAAATAAATAAATAAATAAATAAATAAATAAATAACTCTAGTACATGTTCCACCAACACAATTGTTGCCAAAAGTAATGAACTAATTTGATACAATTAGATATTTGATATGTCTCTACTGCCATAAGAAAACATTCATCCCTTGAAATGTCCAGGAGTCTGTTACTCATTTCTAGAACTCAGGAATAGCTCATTGTCAAAGCACTGTAGTTCTGTAGTGGCACTTGTAGTTACTGACTAATAAGCCTCAGGATGTAATAAGCCTGACATTTTAAAAGGGTTAATAAAAGATTTTATTCCAAGTCATTTTTGATCATTGTCAGCCCACTCAACATGAAATGTTCACTCAATGTAAAGGCAGCTGCTGTTTTCAAATGATGTAAAAAACAAACAAATAAATAAATAAATAAACAGTGATTGTAATTTCTTCTAATTCAGTGCCTTGTTTACTCAGTGTGCTGGGAGAGCAGCCCTGACTGTGATTCCTCCGAGTGAGAAAAATCTGAAGAACGGTGATAATGTAACAGGGGGTAGGAGAGGACGGGGGGAGAGGGGATGGGGAGCAGTAGGATGAGTGAAGTGGGTGCTGGGGCACTCGAGGATGCCAGCTAAATCTCTCCGAGCGTGGAGAGAGCATGGCTGTTATGTTAATCTCTCGCTAATTAAAGAAAAGAGAAGGAAGCACAAAGAGGCCCAAACTGGTTCTGAGCTGGTCGTAGCTGGTTCTGCAGCTTTTCATCAAACTCAGAGTGCCTCACAGAACACACACACGCACACACACACATACACACACACACGCACACACACACACCCACACAGACTTGTTTTTTACATTTGTCAAAATCTATCTATCTATTACATGCATACAGCCTTTATGTAATATGTCCCATATGTTTTTATATATATATATCCATCTATATAAGTCCATTTTTAATTCTAATTGTCTCGGGTGCCTAAAATAATAATACTTCCCTATATATTATATATACAGTATATAACCACAATTTCCTTAAAACAAAGTTTTTGTCTTTCACTTGGAATTTAATATAAAGCACTTTGCTGTAGATTAACTCTGAAGTTTTCCTATGAAAGCAGGAGATTTCCTGAAAATGAAAAACAAGCATCCTACCATGCACACACTCCCCCTTTGTATGTGCGCTGTGTATCTGATGAGAATGTGGTGTTCCAGTGCTGTGGGCAGGTTTTCAGGGGTAATAGAGACACACATCACCGGTGCTTTCACTGCGGCTCGGACGTCCAGCAGGTTCCCCCCCTAAACATCCACAGGGGTCCCATACATGGGCCACAGGAAAAGAGAGACCCCACAAAAGCAGCTATAGAGACATCAGGGGCCGTCAGGGGCCGTGTGCTTAGAGCTGGAGGAGAGTGAAGAATAACAGCCATCAGCTGAGCTCTCACGCTGACGGCTCAGAGGAGATATTTTGGCACATCAAGCCAAGTTTCAGTTGTTTGTCACACTCTGCACACGCTGGTGCAGTCTCACCATGAATGAGTCCATACTGGCCTGAAAGAGTGTTTGTAAGAAGGTATATATATGATAGTGTGAAGGCTAGTATGTTGGAGTTCCCGCATTTTTATCCTATTTTTTGTGAATCCGCATAAGAGAAGTAAAGTTACCATTTTGGAGATATGAGTTTTGTGTGTATATGTACGTACATACGTATACACGTTCCAAAAAAGTTGGGACAGGGGCCTGTTTACCACTGTGTTTCATCACCTCTTCTTTTAACAACACTCTATAAGCGTTTGGGATCTGAGGAGACACTGCTGTAGTATTGAAAGTGAAATGTTTCCTATTCTTGTTTGATACAGGATTTAGCACCCAGACTCTTTTAATACGGAGCAATGCTGCTGTAATACATGCAGACTGTGGTTTTACATTGTCTTGCTGAAAAAATCAAGGCCTTCCCTGAAAAAGCCGTCGTCTGAATGGCAACATATGTTTCCAAAACATGTATATATCGTTCAGCGTTAATGGTGCCCTCACAGATGTGCACGTCACCTGTACCATGTGCACTAATGCACCCCTATACCGTCATGAATACTGGCTTTTGAACTGTGCGCAGATAACAAGCTGAGTGGTCTTTAGCCCGGAGGACACAGTGTCCATGATTTCCAAAAAGAATTTCAAATGTTGATTTGTCGGACACTTTTCCACTTCCCCTCAGTCCATTTTAAATGAGCTAGAGCCCAGAGAAGGTGGCAGCATTTCTGGACCCTGTTTATAAACGATTTCTTCTTTGCGTTTTAGAGTTTTAACTTGCATTTGTGGATACAGCGACAAACTGTTTTTTTACAGACAGTGGTTTTCAGAAGTGTTTCTGAGCCCATGCAGTCATTTCCACTATAGAATTATGTCTGTTTTTAATGCAGTGCTGCCTGACGGCCCAAATACTGGTTTTTGGCCTTGTCCCTTGTATACAGAGATTCCTCCAGATTCTCTGAATCTTTTAATGACATTATGTACTGTAGATGATGAAAAGCAAAAGTTCTTTGCTGTTTGATGTTGAGAAACGTTATTCTTGAATTGTTGAGTGGTGAACCCCTCCTCATCTTTACTTCTGAAAGACTCTGCCTCTCTGAGATGCTCTTTTATACACAATCATGTTACTGACCTGTTGGCAATTAACCACCCGGTGTTTTTTTGGCATTACACAACTTTACCAGCCTTTTGTTGCCCCTGTCCCAACTTTTTGTTGTTGGCATCAAATTCAAAATGGGCATATATTTTTCAAAAAACATTTGATATGTTGTCTTTGTACTATTTTCAGTGAAATATAGGGTTTAAATGATTTGCACATCATTGCATTTTGTGTTTATTTACATGTTACACAGTGTCCCAACTTTTTTGGAAATGGGGTTGTACATATATATGTATGTATGTATGCATCTACAGTATGTACAGGACTGTGCGAAAGTGTGCCAAAAGGAGATTTATATATATATATATATATATGATGAATAATATGAGTTTTCCTCCTTTCTCTTCTGCAGGATTTTCACAGGAACAAAACGAAGAACCTTCTTAGGGATTTCTGGGGAACTTCTGACGAAGACTCTGTGTAGTAGCTCCTAGAATATTTTGTGTGAAGGCATGGATCCGGTGCCGGCTGAGATGAATGCGATTCCCAATGGGAAAGGCCATGAAGCAGCAGATGACACCTCCACTACGCTCACGCCCACCAAAACTGAATCAGACGACACGGCTCAGTAAGTGCAGGTCTTTTAAAACTGTCAAAGCAGTTTTAACCGGAACATTTTAAAACCCAAGGGATCCTCTTCCTTCAGAAAAGCCCTAATGCCTGGGGACTAAAAAATACATGGCTACATTTTTTATTTAATTATTATTTAATAGAATCGTCATGTTTGTGAAATTACTATGGTAATACTCTTATTTCATTGTTTAGTTGGAGACTAAAGGGTTAGGATCTTGACATTTCCAATGGAAAATTGTCCAATCAGGATTTTTTCTCTGTGGTACCTAGACAGATACAGCCATGCAAGCAGGAACTGAACTGAGGCTTTACATGTTACATTAACTACCAACATAATTAGATATTAGGACATGACAATGGAATCGACCAGTCATGTTTTCGTAAGATATGAATATTTCAATATGAATTCTGTGAGACGATACATCATTCCAGGCTTTCTGGAAGTCCTACATACGTCACTGACTGGGAGCACAAACCATAGTCCAGCCAGGTTTCAGTCAGTTGTTAGAAATGGAAAACAGCAGCCCTGTTTACTGAAAGAGTCACTGTAAAACTGCTACAAGGTAAAATATATGTTATTGTCTGCTATAAGCTTAAAAATCATATGGAATGTTTTTTACAAGCTTCAAATCAAATCATATTAAACTAAAACAGCCAAAAAATGTATGTACGTAAGTGTTAGAGTTTTGATATTTATTGTCTGAACTGAAGTTCAGGATCTAATAGTCATGGTTCAAAAAAAAAAAACTTTAAAAACATGAAGCTAAATACACCCAAAGCATTAACACATAGCTGCTTTATGCTAACTAAATCCTTGCAGGCTTTTTGCAAGATGCAAAGATGTTTCCAAACTCGTGGCTATACACCGATCAGGCATAACATTATGACCACTGCTCACTGTGTTGGTCATCCTCTAGTCCTTCATTAGTGGTCACAGGACGCTGCCCACAGGACGCTGTTGGCTGGATGTTTTGGTGAATATTTATTCCAGGTTGGTGGACTATTCTCAGTCCAGCAGTGACACTGAGGTGTTTAAAAACTCCAGCAGCACTGCTGTGTCTGATCCACTCAGACCAGCACAACACACACTAACACACCACCACCACGTCAGTGAGAATGATCCACCACCCAAATAGTACCTGCTCTGTGAGGGTCCATGGGGGTCCTGACCACTGAAGAACAGGGTAAAAGCGGGCTAACAAAGTATGCAGAGAAACAGATGGACTACAGTCTGTAACTGTAGAACTACAAAGTGCACCTATATAGTAAGTGGAGCTGATAAAATGGACAATGAGCGTAGAAACAAGGATATGGTCATAATGTTATGCCTGATCGGTTTATCTAGCTAGAGACAACAAACATTCAACTTCATCTTCTTAGTCTCAGTCCTCAGACTTAAATCCATACTTTGATTTAGGCACCAAAGTTAAGCAAACCTTTAGCGAACTGGGTCAGATTCGTGTTCAACTTCAACAACATATATGCTACAAATAATGTTGAGGTTCATTTGAAAGAACCACACAAAATGAATTCCAGTTGGGGTTAAAGCATTTCAGCCCTCTAAACTTCATTTAAATTGAACTGCTGTTTAGAACATGCTTATCATTGTATTTGCTGAGGCTCTTCTGTCTTCTCACCAAATAAGACTTCTATTTTTGAACATCCTTTATATGCTCTTCATGTTAGCCTAGCTGTCCAGTGCTGTGTTTAGTATGCCTGCAGGACACTGCAACACCTCGCTATCAGAACACGTGCAGGAGAGAAAGGCAGCCGAGGATGGCCCTTCTTTGCCATGAGACAAGTGGAGCGGTGGAGTGCAAGTGGAAGTCACATGCAAATAAATAAGGCTTCTAAGACAATATTTCAGTAAGGAGTGAAAAAAGAGGGCAAAGGAGTAAAAAAGACAATCAGAGTCTTCCTGGTTCTATGTCTACATGCACAGGGGAACCCAAGGGCCTTCAGACTCTTCAGAGAAGGCCTAATGATTCCTGGGGACTAACAAAAAACATCTGTAATTTTTAGTTTATTTTTATTCAATAGGATCATGCATGTACTTAAACTTTGCAAGCATTACTGTACTGCTCTTATAGTACTGTTTGATTCTTAAGTTCTGGATGGAGACAAAATGGTTAAACTCTTGAAACGCCTAGCAGAAAACTGGCCTATCAGGAAGTGTTTTTCTTTGTGGTGTCTGGGTTTATATAACTGAGCAAAATATAACCATTAGCATTATTACAAAGTGACATGAATCAACCAATCACGTTATGATTTACAATATGACCGATTTTGTGAGAACAAACATCACTCTAGTTCTTCCAGACGTCCTAGATACGTCACTATCTGTGAATGCGAGCAGCAGCTTAATCGGTAGGTTGTTAGAAACTAAAACCAGTGGCTGCTGCTCCACACCAGAGCTCACTACTGACAGAGTCACTGTGAAACTGCTAAAAGGTAAATTGTGTTAATATGTCTGTCAAAAGCTTCAGGTAAAAAATAGACAGTCTTTTAGAAGCTTCAAATGTTTGTGTTTAATCTAGAACTCCCAAAAAAGTGTTTATGCAAATCGCTGTTAGCTTAGCGCTAACAAACTACTAGAATCCATAGGGACTCTAGCAGAAGTTAGACTTATCTTGGAGATGTTTTTTCCTCATGTTTTGGCCCTAGTTTTGACATTTATCCCAGCTAACCCAAACTGAACGTCTAGCTCTAGTTTACAGTTCGAAACTGATTTTCTAGATATTTCTAAGTAACGTTTTAAAGTGATGGTTTGATCAAAATGAAAACTGCCCTGTTTTTTGACAGTTAGACATGTCTGCATGATGCTAATGGTTGCTATAAGCTTCCATTATTTGTTAGCTACATTAGCTTCTTTGCTCTGGTGCAGAACTAAAGAAGCAAATTTCAGACTTTAAACTTGTCAGTGTAAATCAGATTTTTAGCAGAGCGAACATGTGAGGCTGAGTCAAGGCTTATCCAACGTGGTCATGCAGGTTGACCAGTTTTGCTGGTGACCAGCCATGCTGCTCTGTGCTGGTTTTCTAGCAGGGGGATCATCAAATGGCAGCCTGAGAGCAAGTTTTTTCCGGCCCCAGCTCACTCTCCAAAACTACTTTCCAGTTTTATTGAAATTATGTGGTGGGGTGAAGCATCAAACACTGTTCTAGCATCAACAAGGGATGTCAATTCTGAGGACTTTTGATATTTGAGTGTCTGTAAGAGTTAATGAACAGATATATAAACAAAAAATCTGGAAAACATTGGAGGTTTGATCCCCATCCAGGCAGCCCTGCCATGTAGGAGACCTCGGGTCTCCAGGCTCTGTGCTCATCTACTGCTGTCTGCTGGAGTGTCAGCTTAATGTCTACCAATATAAGAAAGGTGTGTTATGTTTTGAGATACTTATTCAGTTTTCAACGTGGTTGATTTTGTAAGGTTGAATAAACGGCCAGTACAACGAGGGAAATAATGCAAATTCAACATTAATGTTGATTCAGTGCTTTTGCCCGGCATCACATCAGCATCGTTCAGAGTTTGCTGTCTGGGAGTGTGACGATTTTACGGAAAAGTCCTTCTCAAAGATACGTGATTAGGCATAGGTCCCTTTGTCGACGGCCGTCTTGCGAGTCTCTACCCTGAGGCTGACAATCGCATCATGTGCTCGGTGCCTCCTGGTGGCTTCAGGAGACAAAACATTGAAGGTATCTGGGCCGGATTCACAGAAGTGTCTTAAGAAAGAAAGTGTTTCAAATGTGCATTTTTCTTAACTACATGTTGAGATAAATGATTGTTTTTCAAAAAACTTCTTTCTTTCTCTTTTTTTTCATAAGAGTGATTTTAAGAGTAAGAGATATTCTTGAAAAATATGTTTTCTTAAGCTTATGGCATTCTCAAATTTGTGTTAAACTGTAAGAATTGACAGAGTAAACCTATTAAACTGAAATCCTGATGAATTTTAAAAATATAATTTTTAAAATAAACCAAGGAGGAGTTTTCCTGTTGGCTGTTTCCTCCACCATAACTTCCAGTTCTTGTTCGCTAATTTTTTTAGCATTAGGTTTGATGCTGTTTTACGTTCGTTTTGTTCTCCTCAAGCGCTGATGTGATTAAACTGAATAACCAATAAATGAAAATATGCTATAATTTCTGGTAACCTGTAAATTGTAGCTCAGTATTGGTAACCTGTGTACGTAAAGATGTTCTGAAGAAAATAAAGACTTTTGTGAGAGATTATTTGAGAAGTTTTTTTAATGGGATTTATATTTAAGAACATTCCTATGAACTTCTTAGTGTCTGTCTTTATATCCTTCCTAAGATTTTCTTTCTTAGAAAAACTTTCGTGAATCTGGCCCGTGGTGTTTACTGCAGTTTCTTATTTTCATTGCAAAATGTAAAATATGCAAAATTGTTATTAAAATGAAAATATTCCAATATGTTTGACAAACAAACAAGGAGTAAATCAGAATTTGATTTCTGATCCCATCTGACCGTTAGCATTGTTAGCATCATTAGCATTGTTAGCAGTGTTAGCACCTTTGGGGGAGCAGTGTGTGAAGCTGGTGTGTGTTTGTGGTGTCTTGCAGCTAGCCTTACAGCGTCCGGCCGTGCCCTCTGAATAAGGTGAAATCTAATATGTATCTGGACGATGGCCACGAATGTCACGTCACGCGTCACGGCTCAATGAACGCTGCTCACAAAGCACAAACGTCTCGTGCTGTGTTGACAGGCCAAAGTCAGTGTCTGTGTCCTGTGTGCCTGTTTGTTTGCGTGCGACGTGAACATGTATGTGGGGGTGAGTCGTGTGTGCATGCGTTGAACCCGCCCGTATCTCCTTATCCAAACACCGCTCCTGACCCTTGGCCCCGACCCAGCATGCTGAGGCTGGCCTGGACAGAGAAAACACGTTTTTCAAACACACTGACCCTCCAAACCCTCACGTGCTACGAAGAGCCGAGCTGTTTTCTTCAAGTTCACTGAGACTTTCTTGTGTTTTTCTTCCTTTGTGCTTTCAATGGATGCTGAATCGTATCTGTCTGGCCTGCCTTGTAGGGAACTCGTACCAAATAGCACAGAGAATGCCAGGTATGTAACACTGAGAGATTATTACGGAGTGAAAAACTGTATTCAAGGTGACGCAACTGCATCGGTTTTGGAAGTCATTATAATTGATTATAATAATATTGTATATTTTAAAATATGTGCCCAAGGCTACAGAAGTATGCAGTATATGGTCGTATTTTCTAAGTGAAAATAAGTTGCAAATGTTTTAGCCACCTAAGAAAATTTGAATTAAAAAGCTGTTTATCTATAATAAATTGAAATCACATTGTTATTTGTATGAATGAATAATAAATACAAATACCATTAAAACAATAAGTAGTGATCACAGGTGTATCAGTATATTTACACATATATATATATATAATATAATATATATATATATATTCATATTTATTGAGTGTTCTACAAATAAGTACTGCTATATATACATGTATATTCATATGTTCGACAAATCATTAAAAACATTGTGTTAGAAATAGCATTACATTCGAATAGGGTGATATATAATTCTGAAGGTGAAGATTCAGTTGATTGTAATGTGTTAATACTTAAGTAATTAAATACATATGTGCTTATTTTTTGGGCTATTAGGAAACATACAAATCTAAAACAAAGCTTGGGATTGTTTTCATTATTAATGAATGTATTTTCATAACAACTAATGTACGTATTGTATTTTCTTTATTTATTTGATAACATATTTCAGTAATGGGTAATTGCTTCATGTAGTCACATTTATGTATGCTATATTAAATATATAATTCTAAATTGTAACAAAATATTCAGTCAAAATGAATCTTGGTGAAATTGGAGATTTCATGATGCATCAAATCATTTCCTAAAGAACTGTAATCAGATCAGATTCTGCTTAGGTCAGAGACTCACACCCCTACACAAATGTAGCTCTAGGAGGGTGGAATCAGTAACCACGTCATTTTCAAGGTGATTTTCAGTGACCAGGGTGTGAATATTAGCACTGCAGTAAGGACTGATGGACTCATATACTGTGCTTAAACAAAAAAACCTGTTTTTTTCTCCTGACGTGTCCAATGTACATCTGATTAGGAGATAAGAAACGTGGGGCCAAAAGTTTTCCACATTCATATTTTCATACAATAATGTAAGCAAACGATCACATTACCATACCTCAGTGTTTCTGAATCCTGCAAATATTCATCCAGCCATTCCACGACCTCAATCCACCTGATCCAGCACCACTGCAAAAAAATCCAGTTTAAAATATGTTGGTCTATGTAATTTTTTTTCCAAAAACTTTGGGTTAAAAATTCTTTTTAGTTCTAACACAATCTACCTTGGTACTGGGGAGACATTTTTTCTTCAGCAATATTTACATAATTTATTTTGATGGAAATGCAGATCATTTACAAATCTGGCACTGGATTTTCATGTTCATAGTTGAGTGAGTAAGTCATCATTTATAAAAGTGTTTTTTATTGTGTCAGCTGTGCAGGATTGTTTGATATGAAGGAAGCTGCAGTTGTCCGTTTTGTCGCAGCATGGCCGTCTTTATGGAGAGGTGTGAACTGTTTTTCACAGCAGAGGGTTCTCACCCCTCCCTTTTCACCCCTCATTGCTCACTAGCAGCTCAACACAGATCCACAGCAGAATCAGATTTGTAGGTAATAATAAAATAATCCTCCTTTACAGTAAAATAAAGCTCTGCTGATCGTTCAACACAGTTTAACAATAAATGGTCTTAAACGCTGGAGTTAATGTAGAACTGCTAATTCACCCTTTAACCCTGAAGATCAGCGCAGACTGCTGGTCACCATAGCAACACAGACAACAGTCTTGCCTAGCTAGTAGCTAACGAAACGGCAAAGAGAGAGATTTAAGATGAACATTGATAATTTGGAGATGAATGGATTTATTTGCGTTTATAATCACTCCAGCTGGTTTCCTGATATGTTTAATCTGCAACGAGAAACTGTCAAACACTAAAACGTTGCGAAGCTAAAGTCAGTCACCAGCTTCTTGTTCAAATTTTCCCGTTCCACCTTAAATGATGCAGCATTTACATTCTGGCACCTCAGGCACCATTTAAGGTGGAACGAGAAAATTAGAACAAAAAACTGGTGAATGAGAAGCGACTTCAGCCTCATAAAAAATCGGATGTTGAGAGACATTTTAAAAGAAACTCTTTTACTTTTGAGGAAAAGTTTCCTGACAGAGATGTGAGAAAAGCAGCTAAAGCTGAGCTAAAGCTTAAAGTAGAGCAAAATGAGTGCATTTTCATTTATATTATATTCGTTAGCCTACACTAGCACATTAGCACATAATGAGACATATTTACAGCCAAGATGGCAAAATGGACAAACATTTTGTGGCTCCCAAGGTGGTTTGATTTTTGTTGAAAAGACAAAATGGCTTTTCTTAACGTTTGGCTTGCTGACCTCTGAGTGAACTCCAGCTGAGTCAACTCAAAAAAACCTTAGATGAAAGTTGACCTGACTTTTTCCTTTTTGAACAGTGTGTGGCTCAGTAATCAGCTGGGTTGAGGTGGAGAACAATAGAGAACAAGATTGAGAAACATTGTCCTAGCTTATCTCAATCAAATGAGCAAAAAGAAGCTAATTTGATTTCAACCTACCTTAAAATTGTAGTTTCAGAACCATTTAATCCTCTCTGTCACACATAACCTGCTGTGTGAATATGGTTTAAACACTTTTCCTTACTCTACTGTGTGATTCCAGCCCCAGCAGAGCTACAGGAGATGCGGAGGCAAACCTGGCGGAGAGTTCAGAGTTTCTCTCCAACGCCGACGACAAGAAAACACCACATTTCACAGACGTAAGTTCACACGCATTTGTAGAGTCTTTCTACCTTACTTATATATAAAAACACTCGTGAAAAAGATGGTTTTCAAGGGTTCTTTAGTAAAGAAAATGGCTCTATGTAGAACCATGAACACTAAAAGGGCCTTTTGCATGATTAAAGGGTTCTTTTCATTATAAAAGCGTTCTTCAGACTGATGGAGAATGTGTTGTGGATGACCCTTTATGAAAAGGGTTCTGTATAGCACCCAAAAGGGTTGTTCCATTGTTACGGTGTCAAGCTTGTGACAATAGAAGAACCCTTTTGTGTAAATTGGTTGTAAGGGTCTTTTTTGCAGCAAAGTAGCCAAATTAGATGCCTTTTTAGCAAAGTTGGGTGATAAAATGGTAACAAGGAATACTGCGGTATTGGTGGTGCGAGAGCTCACTGATGGAAAGAGGGGAAAAAATCAAAGCCGGGAAGGAAAAAACTCAAAAACTAAGTAAGATATCAGCTCAGCGACGGCTAACAGCTCCACTCACCACAGAACACGCTCGATTGTCTGCTTTCACTCTCTCGCCGGTCCCTCGACCTTGCGTTCTCAGATATCCTCTAAATGGGAGTCATTTTAGCTTCAGTTAGCTGGAACAGAGCCTGTGATGTGGCACGTTTAGCCTGCTAACTGAGCTCTCGTAGCTTAGCCAAAAATGCTATCATAATCACCACAGAACAGGTTCTAATTCAGCTTTCTGTCGCTCCAACACCAGTCACTCCACTTTTGCTCTCTCATCCATCAGTTTATATCACATCTTCCTATATCTAGCAGCATTTAGTCAGAATCAGACATGTACTGTTGTGGTTCTGTAGCTGCATACTAAGCTAACGTTAAGCTAGCCAATCAGGCTACATATCCAAACACCACAAAATGGGTTAAATTAGATTTTAAATGCACGAGACTTTTATTTTAGAAAACAAATATTACAAGCAACTGAGAGAAAAAAATATAATCACTAGGCCTGATATGAAATGAATTTATAGAAAATGGTGTTGCTGAATGTTGTGCTAGATTAAAATGATTTACTAAACTAATTTACAAAGTATAGCTAAAGAAAGGGAGGAAGGAGAAATCAGTAAATCCAACTAGGGAAAAACTTTGTCTAATATTCTGCTTAACCGCCGGTGGGCCGCCCAGAAAAACGCTGAGCAAAACTCCAGTGGACCGCCAGCTTTGCCATTAGCGGGCCGACAGTTTTCCACTATCCTTTTGCTATCAGGGTAGCCAGAATCAGACATGTTCTGTGGTGAGCAGAGCTGCTTTCATGCTAGCTGAACTAAAGCTAACCAGCTCCTCTTTCCTAGTTAGCAGCGTTGTTTAGCATTTATCTCATCTATTTATTGTTTGATAGATGGTTTGACATTATTGAATGAAAACTGTGCACTGTGTTCACTTATTTGGTGACCATGTGACAATTTTTATTATTTTTTACTTTGAAGTAGGACGAGACAAGACAAAAACAACAATTGCCATGCTTTTAGGCCCCCCCAACCAGCCTCTGCATAGAACAAACAAGAAATGACAATTAAATTGTTAATCACAGTTATTTATATGACAGTTAATCATCAGGTAAAAATCATGATCGTGACAATCATGAAATTTTGCCTTACCTTTTTACCTTTACTTTAAGGTAACTTAAGATAAACTCAGGAGCTTTAAAGCTGAACCTTTCTAACTCAACATACTCGTCTAATGCAACTTTTTCTTTTTTGCTCAGTTTGAGGGGAAGACCTCTTTCGGGATGTCAGTCTTCAACCTGGGAAATGCCATCATGGGCAGTGGAATTCTGGGACTGGCGTACGCAATGGCTAACACCGGCATCGTCCTGTTCCTGTGAGTTAACACTTACTGTCCATATATGCTTGTGAATGGATGGATAGATGGATGAATGCAGCTGAATAAACAGATTAAACATAATTGATTGCATGGCTGCAGCGTCACCAGATGGTCTCACCCATACTGCATGGTTTTGGTTCCTTTAAACACATTAAGCCAAAACATCGTTCATCAAACTGCTATTGTAGACACTCATGCGCAATCCTGTCATGTTAACTTGTGGATTATGATGTATAGTTGTTTGTTATTATCCAGAAGGTTTTAATGCTGCACAGTGCATCGGTTTTGCTTTATTGCTCTATCAGAGTGAATGAGACTGGAGCCCTTGGGTGAATATTCATTCTAATGAGCGAATAGTGAAGTGCTCTCATAAATATTCTAATAACTCTATCACTGCTGTTAAAACCAGCGCAATTACGCTGATGGAAGCTCATGGAATAGCCACTCCATCCCGCTGTGCATGACCTTCAGAGGGGCAGTCCACCTGAAATTGATTTGTTTTTGTTTTTTTGCTTCATGTGTTCATCTGCTCGTGTGGTTTTCCCACAAGTCTTTTTCTTTGTATCTGAGAAATTACCAGCCACAATTTTGCCACAGGAACTGTTTCTGGTCTTTAAAAGGTTCCAGAACCTGAAATAGCACCTATACTATATGCTGTGCTTCTGGAACTCTTCTGTTCCTTAACAGGATCTTGATCCTCTGTCAAATAGGGCCTACCGTTCTGAATTCCTTGAGTTCTTTGAAAGGTTAGAGAATCTGGAATAGCACCAGTACTGTAGTACTTTTAGTTCCTTTAAAGGTTCTTGATCCTCAGTGGAATAACTTCTGTAGTTCTGGAACACTTTAGTTCTTAATCAGCAGCAACTAAGTGGAATAGGGCCTGTAGTTCTCAAACACTTTAGCTTTTCCAGAGGTTCTTGAACCTCTGTGGAATACCGGCAGTAGTTCTGGAGCTCTTTAGTTCCTCAGACATTCCAGAACCTTGGTGGAAAAGTAGTTGGTGGAAAAGTAACCTTGGTGGCAGTAGTTCGTGAACTCCTTTGATCTTCAAAAGGTTCCAGAACCTGAAATAGCACCTATACTCTATACTGCAATTCTGGAGCTCTTTAGTTCCTTTAAAAGGTTCTTAATCTTCAGTGGAATAGGACCTACCGTTCTGGATCCATTGAGTTCCTAAAAATGTTAGAGAACCTGGAATAGCACCAGTACTGTAGTACTTTTTAGTTCCTTAACAGGTTCTTGACCCTTAGTGGAATAGGACTTGTAGTTCTGGAACACTTTAGTTCCTCATCAGCAGCAGCTCAGTGGAATAGGGCCTACATTTTAGCTCTTCTAGAGGTTCTTGAACCTCTGTGGAATACTGGTGGTAGATCTGGGGCTCTTTAGTTCCTCAGACATTCCAGAACGTTGGTGGAACAGCACCAAAAGTTCTGTTTAGGTCCTCAGAAAGTTCCAGAAACGTGCTGGAAAAGTGCCTGTAATTCTAACTCTTCTCAGATCGTCAAAGGGTTGCGGAACCTTGGTGGAAGCACCTAAACAGTTACAGAACTCTTTAGTTTCCTTACCTTCACTCCCATTAGGAGAGCACTGATGCATGAAACCATTTTTCCCCAGTGTATCGAATACTTACAGAGGTATAAAGACATTATATTTTCTGGTGGACTTTCCCTTCCAGTCTAATTCCTGTCGTGGTGTTGTAAAATGCTTGAGTCTCTGTGGTGGTTTCACTACAGAGTGAATGTAATCTACAGCGTGATTATAATGTCACGAGAAGGAGCTCACAGCGCAGTAGTAGGATTAGAATGAAGAGGTTATGTAACTGCACACTGGGGCTGCCCTGCAATCACTGAATTTTAATTACATTGTAATTCATCATGTTTTATGAAATCGTAGGATGTTTCTGGTGCACTAAAGCCCCGACAGCATCACAGCCACTCCAGGATTAGCTCTGAGTTTACTAGCGTAGTGAACAGTGAATATAATACACATAGTGCCTTTTATTAGGGTGCTGTCGAACAGTGCCGTCTTTATTTGATTTGATTTATTTGTAGGAAATAGTGATTAGCGGACCACTTCTGTTCCCTATAATGGTGCTCTATATAGTGTTCCAAAGTAGGAAACAGTGATTGGGGGCATTACGGGACCACTTTTGTTCCCTGTAAAGGTGTTCTATATAGTGTTCTAAAGTAGGGAACAGTGATTGGGGGGGCATTAGGGGACCACTTCTGTTCTTGTTCTAAAATTGCCCCTAGGTGTGAGTGTGTGTGTGTGAATGTTTATGTCTGTGTATCTGCCCCGGATGGACTGGCGGCCTGTCCAGGGTGTTTCCTGCCTTCTGCCCAATGACCGCTGGGATAGGCTCCCACGACCAAGGAGGAGAATAATCATGCTTGTTGTATTTAAACTCGCGTACGTTAGTAATTTTCTTCTTCACTTCTGTTCCCTATGATAGTGTTTTATGTAGTGTTCCAAATTAGGGAACAGTGATTGGGGGGCCATTAGGGGACCACTTCTGATTCTCTATAATGGTGTTCTATATAGTGTTCCAAAGTAGGGAATAGTGATGGGGTGGGGTTAGGGGGCCACTTCTGCTCCCTATGATAGTGTTTTATATAGTGTTCCAAATTAGGGAACAGTGATTGGGGGAGCCATTAGGGTGACCACTTCTGTTCCCTATAATGGTGTTCTATATAGCGTTCCAAAGTAGGGAACGGTAACTGGGGGGCATAAGTGGACCAGTTCTGTTCCCTATAATAGTGTTCCAAAGTAGGGAACAGTAACTGAGGGGGCATAAGTGGACCAGTTCTGTTCCCTATAATATTGTTCTATATAGTGTTCCAAAGTAGGGAACAGTGACTGGGGGCGCAATAAGGGACCCCCTCTGTTCCCTATGATAGTGTTCTATATAGTGTTCCAAAGTACGGAACAGTGATTGGGGGGGGGGCATTAGGGGACCACTTCTGCTCCCTATGTGCTCTATGTAGTGTTCCAATGTAGGGAACAGTGACTGGGGGCCATTAGGGGACCACTTCTGTTCCCTATAATAGTGTTCAGTATAGTGTTCCATTGTAAGGAACAGTGATTAGGGACCTTTTGTACACAGCGTCAGTTTACAGGCTACTTTTCCAGATACTTATGTATTATTAAAACCTCAGTCAGGCAGCGCTGAAATGAACAGTCTGGTTTTCATGACCAAAACAAGAAAGATTTTTAACCGTATAGCTCATGTTGTGCTGCCGTTGATGTCATGTCTGCTGGTGAGTACATGAATCTGCGAGAACATTGTGATGAGTCACAGTTTACTGGAACAGATTTCCTCAAAGCAAGCAGAATTTGTTTTTCCAGCATACCACCAGCATTGATAACCCCACCTTCCTGACTCTAAGTTGGAATGGCCACTGGATTTGGGTCAAGTCTTGCTCCAGAAAGTGGAATGCAGGCCCTAAGCCACGCTAATTCTGCTTTTATTAGGAAATTCACATGGCCTGTGGGATTTGTTTTTTTCCCTCGCTGACCTTGAGTAGCATTACCAGTCGGTACCAACTGGCCACGTTTGCAGAGCTGTATCTGTGCCAGCTAACGTAATCCGGAAGGTACCGGCAGGCTCATGCTGTTTGGGTTAAAGGTAATCTCATTGATTTTGGATCCACACTCGATCTCCTAGAAGAACTGACTAAAAAGGTCAGACATTTGTTTGCTGTATGTATACAGTGTATACATACATATGTGAAAGAGCCTGTAGCTAGTCACTTTTTCTATTACGCAATCAATTACAGTAAACAGGACAAACAACAGCTTAAGAAAATTAGTTTGATGTGGAATGTAAACATTTTAAAAGTTTCAAAATGCACATTTCACCCCCCTGAGCACAGAGTTCATATATGGAAATTAAGCTGCAAAAACAGCTTTGGTGATTCCACAAAACATATGTGTATATTTACATACATATGTATATATTTACATATATATGCCTGTTCAGACTACAGTAGTTTAGCCCTGCCCACTCATGCTGAAGTTATAAGAAGTGTTTCGGTCTGAATTTGACATATATCAGTCTTAAAGCCACAGTAAAAAAAAGCAAAAACACTGAATTTAAAGGGAAATTCCACCAATTTTTTAAAATCTCTCTTATATTGCATAATTCAGTGGTTGAGATGTAAACAAAGTAATTCAGAGTGGATTGATGCAAAATGTTTCATAGTAGTGAGACTCAGATTTCTTTACAGTGGAGGTGATAGGAGGGTCATAATATCTACTACACATATTAATGGCTTTTTAGTCATTTTTAGGCCAAAACCTTCTCAAAACCATTGGAAAATCAACGTTTCATGCTTTAGGCAACATATTTGCAACAACTTTGCATGTAATTGTTTTCTGTGAAGGAGTTTTTAGTCTAAAAATGACTTTAGAAGTCACGGCATTTAATGCTAAATTGACCGCTTTTCACACTTTCTCCTACTAAATACTCTCATAGAGCAGAAGTGAGATAGGCGGCGTGATCAGTGAGATCTAACCGTGCTTTCTGAAGGAAAGAGTGAAGAATTGCCGTGCTGTAAGGGTTTGAATCGGAGTGTGGAGGAGGATTGTTCTCACTCACTCTGAGCTCTTTGAAGTGACTCTGATCTCACGTGAACCGCCCGCAGATGTGTGGCTGTGACAGCTGCTGGATCAGAGCAGTGATACATTCTCAGTTTAACTCTTAGAAGTCTAGAGTATTACTGTAGTTTGACTGTACTGTGTAAATGTGATTATATAATTAATTAAGTGGAGAACCCTCAGGCAGCGCGATCACCTCACAGCAAAGGACCTGGGTTCGATTTCCCCGGCCCGGGCGACTTTCCTGCAGTCAGGCCAGTTAGAGATGCTGAATTGCCCCTAGGTGTGAGTCTGTGTGTGTGTGTGTGAACGTTTATGTCTGTGTATCTGCCCTGTGATGGACTGGCGGCCTGTCCAGGGTGTTTCCTGCCTTCTGCCCAATGACAGCTGGGATAGGCTCC